GCAAATGCTGGGGTCAGGGAGCTGCAGGTCCGGTGCTCTGGGACAGTCGCTGGGGGGCTGTACAGGGGCCAGCCCCCCCTTAGGGTCTCACTCTGTCGCCAAGGGAAGCCACTTGGCTTCACCACCTCTTGGGACCCAACCTCGGTGCTTGCAGCCCCCTCCCTCCAGTGTCTCCCCCTGAGACGCACACCTAAGGGAGATGTGTACCCCCAAAGGGGGCACTGCCCCCAGCATCTGCTGGGGCTCCCAGCCGGTGGGGGAAGGGCAGGCGGGTTTGTTAGGTGGCTGCACCCAGCATGGCCAGTCCTCAGTCAACCAGAGAGCCGGAAGCTACAGCCTGGGCCATGGGCAGCTCCGGGCCCCAGCCAAGTATGTCCGTCCTTGGCTCCCGCTCTTCCAGCTGACTTCCTGCAAGGGGTGGGGGGGTCACCCTGGGTGTTAGTTGCTAGATCGGCAATGTCCCGGCAGGTTGGCTTTGCCACTGTCTTCATGGACTCGCCGGCGACACGGGCCCCAAATCAAGACAGCCAGGATCAGCCGCCCCTGGGTGGTAGCCTGCCTAAGAGAAAACAGCCCTTTCCAGCCCCTAGGGGCCAGCGTGGCACATAGGGGAAACTGAGGCACAGACGGTCTTCATACAAAATAATGCAGACACTTCCCACTGCGCTACTCTGTGCAGGTGCAACCTGAGACTCACAGGAAACGCATGTGAGCAGAGCTCCCACGACTGCCCGCTGGCATGGACACAGCCACGGGACTCAGTAACTCCCCCGCCCCCCATGTATCTTAGGTGTGGGGCAACACGCACACACACACACACACACACACACAGAGCAGGGCTCATCCCCTCCAGCAGACACATATGCACACAGCACCTCTATGTCCAATGGGTTGCTATGTGCATCAGATAAGCCCCCAACCCCCCCTCCTCCCAGAGATTCCCTCATGTGACTGGGGTATGTGCCCCAGCCTGCTGGGTGAAGTGGTGTCTAATGGTTAGAGCAGTGGGGCTGGGAGCCAGGACACCTGGGCTCTGTCCCGGCTCTGGGAGGGGAATGGGGTCTAGTGGTTAGAGTAGGGGACTGTGTTCCAGGACTCACTGCAACTGGAGGGTTTTTGGGAGTTCTGACAGGGTCATTTCATGTTTGCAGGCCCATCTTCCAGTCCCTGCCTGGCCCACTCGCCCTATCGGGTGGCAATGAGGAGGCACCGGGCACCTGGCAGTTGAGGAGAGGAGAGGAGAGGAGATCTGAGGCCCAGGATCAGGCCCCAAGCCCATGTGTCCACCTCTGGCTTGTTGACTCTGGACCATGGCCCAGCCTCTCACCTACATTCCCTGCCATTCCCCTGCACTGGACCCACAGCTTGAAGTCTTGGGATTCCCCAGCCTGGCCCCAGGTGCTCCGTACACTGGCTGGAGTCACCCTGGGGTAAATCAGGGGTAAAGCCATGGGGACCAATTCCCCTCTCCCTCACCTGGGGGTAAATAATTTCTGTAGCTCTTCTCAGAACCCTCCCCAATTGTCCAATGTCCTGTTTGACGTGTGGCTCCTCCCCAGAGCTGGGCGCAGTCTCCAGTCAGGGTCTCCCCCATGCTGTATCCAGAGGGGACCCTACCTCCCAGCTCCTACTCTCTAATCCCCTGCTTCTCCAGCTCAGGGCCGTGCTCCTCCTCTCACCCAGGGAGCTCTGTCCCAGTGGGTTCCTCCAGGATCTCTGGGTCCTTCCCTCATCACTGCTTTCCAGGGTACAGCCCCCCACCATGTAACTCCTTGGGGGTCCTGACCCAAAAGGGGGTGGCAAGGCTATTGTAGGGCGGTCACGAGATCTATGGGTACCATATTTCGAGGACACTGCTGGGGGAAAGGAGGCAATACAGCTGTCCGGCCGCCCAGCTCTGAGGGCAGTGCCGCCGTCAGCAGCAGCGCAGGAGCAAGGGTGCAACGCCATGTACCTCAGACAGGACGAGGTTTCCCTTTTATTACAGCTCAGCAGCAGTGGGGACGTAGGAGGACAGTTTACAGTCAGGCCAGAGAGAGACGAGGACAGAGCTGAAGCCAATGCTGGCTCCTACCAGTACCGTTCAAGAGACCAGCTAGGCAGGGACGGCTTTAGGCCAATTCAACCAATTCCCCTGAATCGGGCCCCACCCCTAAGAGGGCCCCGCGCCCAAGCCCCAGTACGGCATACCGGCAGGTGCGCTGTACCAGGGTGGCCCAGCTTCCCCAGGGGGCAATTTAAAGGGTCCTGGGGTTCCCAGCAGGGGCTGGAGCCCCAGGCCCTTTAAATTGCCACCAGAGCCCCACTGCTGGTAGCCCTGGGGTAGGG